AGGTGATTATAGTGAAGAAGCAAGAAACTAAGGAGCATTAATCGTGGCAGTTCTGAGAACGCAGTTTTCAAATTTGTTTATTAATGTAGGACATTCAGCTACATTTTTGATAAGAAGTGTTTTGATAGACGAGAAAATTCTTTACCAGTTTGTTGAACATTGAATATTTCTGCTACATATAGGTATATGTTTTTCAGAACAAGGTGCGTAATCGCCAGTCGAAGAGCTAATTTGAAAGCAACCTTCATCTGTTCTAATCATTTTTTCGTTTGTTAGAGGTACCGTACCAGGATACCTGATAGTCCAATAGGTTCCAGGGGGCGCTTGTGTAAGAGCTAAAACAATTTTTCAATACCAGAGTTCTGATAAACGTGCAAAACTGTTAGCTTTAAAGAGCTGATAAAATTTGATAAACTGCTTGAAAGTCTGCTGTCTCTTCAATATCTTTTTTACACTAAAAAAACTGCAAAGTGATAATCACAAAGAAAGCAAATTAAGCGACAACGAAACAATTTGCTCACAATAAGAACTAATCTTTATTGAAAGTAGTAAAAAATCTTAAAATTTTGCTACCTTTTTGAACAAGAATCACATCATCAGAATATCTCATAGTAACAATCTGACCGTTACCCATTTTGCAGAGCCGTTCTGCGGAAGAAAGATCCATAGAGTCTGGAAATTCTTTTTACATTATTTAGACTGATAGTATTCTATATTAAAAAAGTATCTTTTGTCTTCAGAATTCACTGATCTTGATAGCAAAAAATTCGCATTTACTTGAAGCTGGAAACCCGAAGCACGATAAATCTTCGAGTCGAAAATTGCGATATTCGGGGAACCTGCTAGCGCAGATAGTATCCATCACGCTTAATACTGAAACATTTAGAATGATTAACGACTTCTGTGGAAATCTTTCTTATTTTTTCACTAAAATGTACAATTTTTCAAAAACTGAAAGACTGTTCATAAAGAACAAGCAATTATAGTTCGTAGACTATAATTACCCAAATTATTCACAGCTCTCTGATTGGCGCAGTCTTTAGCACTCAGAACTTGATTGGTATCCTTCAAAAAAAGCGACTCTGTTAGCTTATCATCTGCAACTGTGATATATTTGTAAGCGTAGCAACCAGTGCCATTGTATCTCACAGCCAAACAGTTTATGTTGTCATTGCAGTACTTGACGCATTCCCCAAAGTTTAAAACTTTGTTACTGGTAACGTGTTTTTCGCATTGCGGAGTTAGGCGAATTATCCCAGGGTCAATGAACGTAGTCGCATAAGTTGTTGCAGAAAAAACAAAGAAATTGTATTTTATCAGTAACATAATGAAGATGGCAAATTTTTTACACCAGTAGAAAGGATTTTTCGATATGGTTTCTAAAGCACGAGTGCCTGAAACACTCAATTATAAGAAACTTGAGTTAAGTTTATTGAACTTTAAGAAGATAAGCGGCTCAGAAATTTAAAGAAGTTAGAACGTTAACTAGGGAAAACTTATAGAGCCGTTCTGATATGAATTACGCACCA